AGACCTTTTAAGACGTGTGTGCCTTTCCAAATCATACCCATTCAATTGAATTTGCCACAGGTTAACTTCACTTGACGTGTAGTAGCATTTACAAGCAATAAATACATTTCAACTGTCACAGATAAGGGTATGAGTACTTATAAAAAATGTAAATTATTCCATTGCATTTTTAATAAATTTGCAGAGATGTTAAAAAACAGTTTTTTGCTTTACCATTATGGTGTATGGAGTGTAGATTGATGTGGAAAAAAAGTAATTTAAAGCAGTTTAACAAAAATGTAAAAAAAATGACTGCAAGGCACTGTGTGTATATATATATATATATATATATATACACATTAGATGTCCAAGAAAGCGCGCACAGAGCACTCCCTTTATAATCACTAAAAAGCTGTCACTCATTTCTGTTAAAATCAATGAAGCTCTCTACAAAGCACAATTAATCTTTTATTTACATTGTGTCTATATTTTGTTATAATGACAGGATCCGTGAGCTTGCTTAACTCAGCACTGTTTTGTGTGGTGAGTGGATTCTGACTAACTGAAACACCTTGAATTGGCCATTGCGATATGTCTGTGATTGGCCACAATACTCAATGCAGCAAAAACACGTTGTAAATAGAAACCTTTGAAGCTCTCCAGAGTGCAAATAAATACATACTGGAATCTGCCCTGATGCAGCTGCTGTTTGGCAGTTCCCGCCTCCTCCTTCCATGTGTCTTGAAATTTGTTACATACATATGTGTGTATATACACACACATTTACCTTAAATCATCCTGGAGACCCATTTTTTAAGTCTTGCAACCCTCGGGTTTGAAAACCACTGGTATATACTGTCATAAGTCTGGGGTTAGTAAGTTTTTTGAAAGAAATTAATTTATATTCAGCAAAGACACATTAAATAAAGACTTTTAATTTGTTACAAAAAATCTATTTAAAATAAATGCTGTTTTTCAGATCTTTTATCTAAATCAAATAATCTAGAAAAAATATATCACGATTTCCACAAAAATATTAACCTGCACAACTGTTTTTTGACATCGATAATAATTAAAAATGTGAAACTGAAGAAGGGTTATTATCGAAAACATTTTTGTTAATTGAAATAAAGCTGAGATAAAACTAAATATAAAGTTGAAGCACTAAAATTACTAACGGGAAATAAATAAAAACTAAAACTGAATTAAAATTGGAAAAAAAAAAAAACCTAAAAGAACAATAATAGGAATGACAAAAGCATTTAACAAAACTACAAAATATTAAACTAAAATTAAAATGAAAATATAAAAATAAAAGTTAATTCAAAATATTTAGAACAACTATGCCAGTATACAAATACTTCTAAAATAACACTGCACTGAGGACTGGAGAAATGGCTTCTGAAAATTACAGGAATAAATTACATTTTAAAAGATATTAAAATTGTAATAACTATTTCACAATATTACTGTTTTCACTTTATTTTTTGATCCAATAAATGCAGCCTTGGTGAGCGTAAGAGACTTCTTTTAAAAATAATTTAAAATGTTACCGACCCCAAACTTTCGAAGAGTATACTGTTTTAATTAGTATTTATTAAGAACAGTTTCTGTAAGCTTATTGTTCAGGTAACCTTGAGGAATGCGTCAAAGCGTGACTGATCTCCTACGAGGTGGGCCAGGTAGGAAACAAAGCAGAAGCCTTTCTCATAGGGCGTTTCATTGTAGGTATCATCAGGATCGACACCTGCAATGAAAAGACACAGAGGCAGTTACTACCAATTCTTTACAATTCGCAATAAAAATAACAAAGCTATGCGAGACTGCCATCTTTTTTCTGCTTACAATGTCAAATTAAACAGACAATAATCTAGTGGTGACCTACCTGGTTCAATCTTAACCCGTAGTTTATTGAGAGGATGGTCCTCTCCAGTGTTGTCCATGTGTTGACGTAGAAGAGCTTTACCAGTGGCTGCTTCCAGACATGTATAAGCCTCTCCTGAGAATGAAATGGCACTTTTTAACGAATTCTTTATTAGTGAAATATTAAGGGTCAAATAACGTATGGCTTAACATACAGCTCCCTGCAAAGCCTGCGCTGAGCGTACATGGTGAAACCCTCGTTCAGCCAGAAATCACTCCAGGTGGCGTTGGTGACGAGGTTTCCAAACCAGCTGTGGCAGATCTCGTGTACAATGACGTCAGCGAGAGAACGATCGCCGGCCAGCAGACAGGGTGTGACAAAGGTCAGGCAGGGGTTCTCCATCCCACCGAAAGGGAAGGATGGCGGCATGAACAGCACATCATATCTAAACGATTACAACAATTCAAAAACATGTCTATTGTAATGTAATAATTATGTAGTTCACTGAAGCTGTTCAAAAAAAAGCATATCCCACCTTCCCCAAACGTAGGGTCCAAACAGTTTCTCTCCCACAGACAGGAACTCTTCGATCACATTATCATACTCCTGCTTGGCTGCCTGCAGTAAACAAGGCTCGGTCCAGACACGTGTCCTGAAAATGCAGTTAAAAGTGTTTATTATAATAATCATAATTTTTATTTAAATGCTTACTTTATAATAGGGTCCACATATAATGTTAGTAGAGTATTTTTGCACTAAAAGCACATATAATTGAGTTTTTACATTAACATTTTCAAGAACTGCAGCTTAGCTTGGTCTGTTTTTGGCCAATTAACTCTTTTATTCCAAAGGAGCAATAAAGACTTTATGCCTTATGATGCAACTTCTTTATGGTAAAAGATTTGGGATTTTTTTTTTTTTACCTGGGTCCCACCTCAGCAGACTGCAGGTCCCCTACTGCCAGAGCTACCAGGTAAGCTGGAATGGGACGTTCCATGGTGAACAGGAAAGCGCTGTCTGCTTGCCTCTGTTGCCATTTACTAGCACTCATAACTGCTGTGAAGCCATCAGGGACCTGATAATAAGAGTGAGGAGTGAGGAACATCAAAGAAAGAAGCTACTGTGTTTATGAGACAGTTCAAAGTGCAATGATAAGAAATCAATCGTGTAGGCTGAACTAGATCTGATCATTCTTGTGCTTCTTTCTTTCTTGAGAATCTGATGTGAGCCTATTGCTGACGATATATAAAAAAATTGTTTATGAAATCCAAAATAAATATTGACCAATAATACATTTTAAAGATGTTTTTGACCAACCTCATTTTATAATATATTATTTACTTATACATTGCAATTATTATATACTGTTCAACAGTTTGGAGTCTGTAAGATTGTTTTTGTTATATTTTTGAAAGAAGTCTATGCTCACCAAGGTTGGATTTATTTGATCAAAAAGGCATTACATGTTGTAACAGCAATGTTTTTAAATCTTATTACAATTTAAAATAAATAACTATTTTAATATATATAATATATCCAATCAACTCCTGATTATTAAAATCAAATCCCACCCTCCTAATTGAACACGTTGTTCCTAATTGATCATCTTTCTCTTGGAAAGACATGAGATTTTATAATTGGGATGCAAACTATAATGTCTGTATCTTGTTTATATCTGTAAATCTGACCGGCCCAAAGGCCTCACCTGAACTGTTGCTGAGTAGGTGCTCTTGACTGCTGGAGTATCAAAGCAAGGGAAGAAGGAGCGGTTGAGAACAGCCTGGCCTTGAGTAAAAACATAAGGCTTGAGCTTTCCCGCAGTCTGCTCTGGTTCCAGCCAACACACCTATAAGAAGATACATGCGTTTGGTGAGACATTACCTGCACAACAGCCGAGTAAGTGCTCTTTGTCATGGGTGTATGGAAGCCGGGAAACAGGCTGCGGTTCAGGACAGGGAACCCTGATGTGTACAAGAATGGCAGTGTCTTCTCAGCCGTCTGCACTGGGTCCAGCCATGACATCTAGAGAGAAGTGATGTACGCATGTTTGTACAATAAATGAATGACTCTGGCATTATCAATGCTGATCTGAAGACCGAAAGTGACTAAAGTGGCTGCTTGGAGAACAAGTTCAGAAAGAGAAACCAAAGTATTCTTCCTCCGAGGTCTCATGACACTTCAACAAGTTTCAGTTTTGATCACAATGAAATGCTCAGGCAGTTGTGAACCATCAAGATGGGAATTATTGTGAACAAAAAATATTAAAAGCAGCTTGCATGCTTACCCCTGGTCCATCGGAAGCTGTATATTTGATTGCAAGTTGAAGTTTGTCATCTGAGTTGAAAGGCGTTGGGAACTTCATGACCAGTGTTGTCCCATAATTGGTGAAGTCTCGAATCAAAAATGCTGTTGTGGTCCAGTCACGTGAATTATGACTGAATGTGATCTCATGCACAGCCAGTGTTGGATGAATATCCAGCTGTAACTCACTTTGACCATCCTGAGTGCACTGCAGCTGTATTGTTTCGGTACCTGATATGGTTTTCCGCTCAAAGTCCACTTTAAGATCGAGATGAAAATGTTCTATTTTAAACAGGCGGAAACTAGAGGAGGTAGCGACGTCTTCGGCTTTGTCTGAATACAGCGTAAAAGTTTTATCCATTGTACTACTGAGTGACCAAAAATCTACAGCTACACCGGTAAACGGCGGACAGTCTGTTCCTGCTCTCACGAATGACAAGCGAACGGTGATAAAACAATCGCAGCGCTGGAAGACTAATCGTTATAGCATGTGGATGGGGTTTACGCTATACTTTTCTGCGTTATTGCAGCGCAGTGTTGTTTGTCGTAAAGACATGACAGGTGACCAACAAGAAAAAACTGTTTCACACATACTGAAATGTTACTACTTAAAAGCTATTATCTGTTATTCATATAAGACAAATACCCGTCTTTGTCAAGTGGGCACCAGGGCTCAGATAGTCAAATTCTCTTTTAAAGCCACTTTCAAATCTCAGGACTTTGTCTTATTGTATACATTTTATATTACAATGAATGTACAGTATTTAAAATATATGAATTGAAAGGACTGGTATCTCACATTCGAATGAAACCCCTCCCCACCAATTTTTATAAAACGTGAAAGAAATTCATAATTCAGTAAACAGTGATAATGCAGTAATCACTGCGATAGGCTGATCCACAACAGCGGTGAGAAATGTAACAGTTGCCACGTGACAACCCCGTACCTACTTTAGCTGTCTGAAAGTTCTCGAATATTTAAATGCATACTGAACTTTTTTTCATTAAGAAACCATACTATAAGCAAATCTGTCTAATATAATGGTTATAATGGTTAAAGTGTTGTGTTTTTCATCCAATTCTTGATTTTCAAGAATGATTCTGTGATCATGTCACCAAAATCATTGTGAGGTGATTTAATAAATTTAAAATATTTCAGAAGATGTTTTATTGCACCAATCAGCATTTATCAACTGGAAATTTACATTTGTTTTTAGAGCAACCATTTACAGTGAGTCACCATATATACAAGTCACTGTAATAATAACTAATCAGAAAGAACATTGATTACATCATATGGACAAACAATCTTTATTCATATAACTTTATTTTTCATCTTAGTATCGACACACACTAGCCAAATAACGTTAAAAAACACTTAGTAACAAATTAGATTTAATTTCATCGTACAAAAAAATCAATAGGTAAGTTAATCTATACATACTCTCTCTCTCTCTCTCTCTCTATATATATATATATATATATAAAAAAACTATAAAACACTTTTTAAAAATTGTCTTTCACAGTAATACTCTCAAAAATCTTGGGACAAGGCATTTCATAGCAAATGATGACTGTCTTGACATATCCCTATTTTTGTTCGATGTTAAAAAAGTCTACTTTAATCTATCAGCCTTTAATCCATCAGCTTAACAAATTATTGAATAAATAGGGCTGTTGTCAGACGGGTGTCCATGGTTTCACACCTGGCTGGCAACCTCAGAGTCATCCTCATACAACCTGTCTGGAGTCCTCAGAATGACCCGTTTCTGGGATACCTGGAGGAGCAAAACAAGAAGAAAAGTGGTCAGTCCATAGGGAAATTTGTTTGCAGTGGTTTCTAGTAACCCTTGACTGTTGATAGTCTTAATATTAAATGAAACTCAGGAGTGACTACACAATCTGCCGCTCTGTGGTGTTGTCTGAAGGTGTCATAAATCTGGCCTGGGTTACACAACAGCTGCTGGGTCTTAAATCATGGAGCACACAGTGTATTCTTACAACTAGAAAGGCCATTATGGAATGGATTAGATTGTATGTGCAGAATTTTATCCCATTTTATCCCAATATTTTCTCAAATACAGAGTCAGTGTTTTAAAGCATAGATTAACAGGACAGGAGACAAGTGTCTTTCATTTTGCTAAAGTTTCTCAGATAATAAGATATTTGAGTAGTAGTCTTTAAGACTAAGTCCAGCTGCCTCTGAAACACATGACTCTGTAAATCATTGCATGACAAGATACTGGAATGAAACAAATGTGTCTCGGGCAGTGCTGATGTTCCCACATATAATCTAAAGATCTTCAAAGGGATGATCCGAAACCAAAAGACTAAATTAACCAACCAAATGCATCTGCAAGTTTGTGGTTTTGAATTCCTGTGGTTTCTGTAAAGTTTAAAAATGAGCGAATATGTGTCATCTCATTGCACAACCCAAGTTCCTGATTTTACTTGAATCCTGAAGGCATTCGTACTCCAACCTAAATTTATTCAGCAGGGAATTTTCAATCATTTGTTATGTGACTTGTTGGTACATGTATACTGCATTCTTTAGGTGTCTGATTGCACATTTTTGACTGTAGTGTAAATTACCTGACTCCCACGCAAATAACACTGGCACCCACGGTATGTTTTGAGAAACAGTTTCTGTATGGGAATGATTTAAATCAGTAGTTCTCAAATGATGTGTCACAACTCAAATATATGTTCTGATTGGGCCATAGACAATTGTGTCTGAATATGCCTACTTTCATACTATATGGTAGGTGAAAAACAGTATATGAACAGAGTAGTATGTCTGAATTCATAGAATTCGAAAAATACAGATGACCTACTACTTCTTATTACTATTCAGTCTGTTAATATTTTCCCATATTGTTAGGCTTATAGATAAAATACAAGTTCTTATAAGTTCTTTTTTTATTTCATTGTTTAATTGTGTATAATAAACAATTTTGATGCTGTTTTACGGCACCAAATCTAGGTCCCGAAGAAAAACTACTGACATAGTCTGCTGAATATAATTTTCTATGGTAATGGAGAACTTCAGTTTACTAGTATTCCAATTAGTAATGGATTCAAGTGAAAAGCATTAGGTCTTTGGGAATAATCCTTCTGACATCTTAACAAAGGACTTTAGTTTGATGAGTGACACCACAGCGTATGCTCAGGTTTACTGATGTATTCTTGCCACCTTATGTACGATCAAATTCAATGCCAAGCAATGGGAAAAAAAGAAGTTAACAAAGACACCTATCGGTTTCAGCTGGGAACATGCCAACTATCAAAATATTGCTTGAGGAGATACTAAAGTTGGAGTAGAAGTGGCCAAACAACTTATCTGGCTTTCTCTAGAGAAATAAAGGAGCTAATGGGCCGGGTCGCTATCACCGTTTCCTTCCGTCCAATCAAGCTTTCGTCCCTGAGAAATGGAATGCTCATCTACATATCAAGTTCACACAGTGTAGCCACCGAAAGCTTGAATGGAAATAAACAGCAGAACAACCTTGACTGCATGTTTTCCCATACTCTCTCTCTCTCTCTCTCTCTATATATATATATATATATATATAAAAACTATAAAACACTTTTTAAAAATTGTCTTTCACAGTAATACTCTCAAAAATCTTGGGACAAGGCATTTCATAGCAAATGATGACTGTCTTGACATATCCCTATTTTTGTTCGATGTTAAAAAAGTCTACTTTAATCTATCAGCCTTTAATCCATCAGCTTAACAAATTATTGAATAAATAGGGCTGTTGTCAGACGGGTGTCCATGGTTTCACACCTGGCTGGCAACCTCAGAGTCATCCTCATACAACCTGTCTGGAGTCCTCAGAATGACCCGTTTCTGGGATACCTGGAGGAGCAAAACAAGAAGAAAAGTGGTCAGTCCATAGGGAAATTTGTTTGCAGTGGTTTCTAGTAACCCTTGACTGTTGATAGTCTTAATATTAAATGAAACTCAGGAGTGACTACACAATCTGCCGCTCTGTGGTGTTGTCTGAAGGTGTCATAAATCTGGCCTGGGTTACACAACAGCTGCTGGGTCTTAAATCATGGAGCACACAGTGTATTCTTACAACTAGAAAGGCCATTATGGAATGGATTAGATTGTATGTGCAGAATTTTATCCCATTTTATCCCAATATTTTCTCAAATACAGAGTCAGTGTTTTAAAGCATAGATTAACAGGACAGGAGACAAGTGTCTTTCATTTTGCTAAAGTTTCTCAGATAATAAGATATTTGAGTAGTAGTCTTTAAGACTAAGTCCAGCTGCCTCTGAAACACATGACTCTGTAAATCATTGCATGACAAGATACTGGAATGAAACAAATGTGTCTCGGGCAGTGCTGATGTTCCCACATATAATCTAAAGATCTTCAAAGGGATGATCCGAAACCAAAAGACTAAATTAACCAACCAAATGCATCTGCAAGTTTGTGGTTTTGAATTCCTGTGGTTTCTGTAAAGTTTAAAAATGAGCGAATATGTGTCATCTCATTGCACAACCCAAGTTCCTGATTTTACTTGAATCCTGAAGGCATTCGTACTCCAACCTAAATTTATTCAGCAGGGAATTTTCAATCATTTGTTATGTGACTTGTTGGTACATGTATACTGCATTCTTTAGGTGTCTGATTGCACATTTTTGACTGTAGTGTAAATTACCTGACTCCCACGCAAATAACACTGGCACCCACGGTATGTTTTGAGAAACAGTTTCTGTATGGGAATGATTTAAATCAGTAGTTCTCAAATGATGTGTCACAACTCAAATATATGTTCTGATTGGGCCATAGACAATTGTGTCTGAATATGCCTACTTTCATACTATATGGTAGGTGAAAAACAGTATATGAACAGAGTAGTATGTCTGAATTCATAGAATTCGAAAAATACAGATGACCTACTACTTCTTATTACTATTCAGTCTGTTAATATTTTCCCATATTGTTAGGCTTATAGATAAAATACAAGTTCTTATAAGTTCTTTTTTTATTTCATTGTTTAATTGTGTATAATAAACAATTTTGATGCTGTTTTACGGCACCAAATCTAGGTCCCGAAGAAAAACTACTGACATAGTCTGCTGAATATAATTTTCTATGGTAATGGAGAACTTCAGTTTACTAGTATTCCAATTAGTAATGGATTCAAGTGAAAAGCATTAGGTCTTTGGGAATAATCCTTCTGACATCTTAACAAAGGACTTTAGTTTGATGAGTGACACCACAGCGTATGCTCAGGTTTACTGATGTATTCTTGCCACCTTATGTACGATCAAATTCAATGCCAAGCAATGGGAAAAAAAGAAGTTAACAAAGACACCTATCGGTTTCAGCTGGGAACATGCCAACTATCAAAATATTGCTTGAGGAGATACTAAAGTTGGAGTAGAAGTGGCCAAACAACTTATCTGGCTTTCTCTAGAGAAATAAAGGAGCTAATGGGCCGGGTCGCTATCACCGTTTCCTTCCGTCCAATCAAGCTTTCGTCCCTGAGAAATGGAATGCTCATCTACATATCAAGTTCACACAGTGTAGCCACCGAAAGCTTGAATGGAAATAAACAGCAGAACAACCTTGACTGCATGTTTTCCCACTAGACTGTTGTGTTAATGGGAAAGTTCATGACCGTGAGGAATGAGGAAAAGCTTCGAGTGAATGAAAACCTGTGTGTGACAATACAAATAAACTCAAAGTAAGCAAATGATCCATCTGATGAAGTATTTGTGGCATTTGGAGCAGAGTATGTGAGTGGAATGGAGTATGTAATCACACACCACTCCACAATTGTAATTGCACCCAGTTACCGTTCTTTTAAAACATGTGTTTTAATATTATGATATATTAGGAGAAATCACGTTTGCACAGTTTCTGTACTGTTGTGAGGATGATGTGTTAGTATGATGTTATAATTCAGGGGTCTCCAACCCTGCTCCTGGAGAGCTACCGTCCTGCAGATTTAAGCTCCAACAGCTCTAACCCCAATCAAACACACATGAACCAGCTAATCAAGGTATTCAGGGCTACTTGATAATTATAGACTGGTGTGTTGGAGCTGAAGTCTGCAGGACGGTAGCTCTCCAGGAGCAGGGTTGGAAATCCCTCATATCATTTTTGTAAATTATGTAAAGTTCCTACGCCACAGCTTCCATGATTTTTCCAGTTGTTTGTGGTTATAGATAAAATGTTTATGATTTTACATAGATTTCACTCACGAACAGCAATTTCTAACAATTAAGTATATTTTAAGAACACATATTCAATATAGAAATGTCCATGACTGTCTTTAAAGGCTGGGACACACCAAGCTGATCCTATGAACTCCAGTGACATTTCCAGCAAAGCACAATTTTAAAATTCCCTGATATTTCCAGTTTATCCATGACCGTTGGAAACCTGACAGACTACACATCTGAGAGGAGAGAGTGACGTGTTACCCATCATTAGATTTTATTTCCTTATACTGTATGACAGAGCATCTCTTCTTTAATTTTCTGTAATTTAAAAAAAAATTAATTTGTATACATTTTTTTTTCACAGTAAATCTGTAGTCATTCATACTCTGTCATTAATTTTCATTTAACATTTTTGTTTTTGATCATGTTTCCAACTAAATTTCACAAATTCCATCTTTATTTCTTTTTGACTGGTAATAAATAGCCTATCAGCACTGTAAAACCTAAGATGAATTTTTGTTGAGAACGTGAGAACACGGACACTCCTCATACTCACTACCACAGCAACAATACACTACCATTCAAAAGTTAATATTTTATTTCAGCAAGGATGCATTAAATTGGTCCGAAGTGACAGTAAAGACATTTATAATGTTACAAAGGATTTATATTTTAAAGAGAACTTTCTATTAATCAAAGAATTCTGAAAAAATGTATCATGGTTTCCACAAAAATATTAAGCAGCACAACAATAATTTTCAACACTGACAATAAGAAATGTTTCTTGAGCACCAAATCAGCATATTAGAATGGTTTCCGAAGGATCATGTGACACTGAAGCCTGGAATAATGCTTTGCCATCACTAAATTTGCATTTTAAAACATTAAAATAGAAAAAAACAATTTTTTATTTTTTTTATTGTAATCATATTTAACATTATTACTGTTTTTTTTGTTATTTGTATTTTTGATCAAGTAAATGCAGCCATGTTGAACATTAGAGACTTCTTTAAAAACATTTAAAAACTCTTACAGTCCCCAAACTTTTGAACAGTAGTGCACACTGATTTACAGCATTGTGTTCTAATGTCTCTGGGCAACCATAAACAACAAAATGACAATTTTGAGTTGTGTGTGGTTTGCTATTGTGCCATTCCCTAAACTAATTCCAATCAAAAGCTCTTTTATATCTGAACACCACACCTAGATCCAGTAGTGATCTCACTTTGACGCAGCAAGAGCACCAAGCGAACCTTACCCTGTTCCTCAGGCAGGCCTGGGCAGTGCGTGCCTTTTCTGGAAATTCCTCTCCCAACAGACTGATACTTGACAGAAAGGTGATACAGCTCTATTCTATTTCATAAAGAGCCAAGATAGTTACACATTTGGAGCTTTTCCTTTCTCTTTGCAGGTCAATACATTTTCCGCACATTTATTCTGAGTGACTGAGAGGACCAGCTATTTACCTGCTGTTCCTGGAAACGGTGGTGCTGGGAAAGCGAAAGCGGGGACTCGGGGATGCGGAGCGTGCCCTGCCTGTACCGGTCCAGTGAGTGCGGTCGAGGCGGTCGGAGTTGGTTGCGCTGGTGCCATGATTTGAGTTCCTCTGACACCACCTGCCGTGGCAGACCTCTGCTAGGATGGTGAGAATACTCTCTCAGCGAAGGAGCCCGTGACAGTTTCACGTGGGCGGGTAACAACCTGCAACTTCGCTGCTGGGAAGGCATAGCCTCGCTATAGTAGTACTCATAGTGACCATTAGAAGAATAAACAGGCGAAGGGGCCTGGTGGCTTATGTACAACCTCCCACTGTCCCTTTCCAAGGGGTGACCCCATCCGTCCTCCACGTACCCCTTGGAAAAACTCAGTGAGGACTGGTACTGAGGGTTCTTGTAGAAGTGGGTAGGGGAGCATCTTTGTGGTACATGGCTGTCATTGAGACTGGCATATTGGTATCCGTACTGGGGTTGGTAGGGCCACGGATGTTCCCCAGGGTGCTCCTGGCAGGGCGAGCTGGCGTAGGACTGCACAGAGTGCTCTGAGTTGCTGTCCTCAGAACTAGAGTAGTACAAAGGGTTTCCAACATTTAGACTTAAAGAAGAGTATTCTGATGGTGTCACCGCAAAGTCTGTCAATCGTCTCCTGGGGCCCCTTGAGCGCCCACGTTCCCGCTCAGGATCATAAGGGTTGGATTCAGTGTTGGGAGCTCTGTTATAATGAGAAATTAATCGATTTGTCAAGATTTGAGATGGCCATAATATCCATAAAACATAAAACAATATCCATGATCTGAAGTGTACACTACCGCTCAAAAGTTAGGG